TGTCGGTCAGACAAACATGTTCATGGACCAAACGTATGTCATAAATTCATTAATTTATTTAATCAATCCCTCTGTCAAGTAATGTGCCTATTCATCAGGATAGGTATATTGCTTGTACTGTTGTGCTCAGTTGCTTAATTATTAAAATGTATGAGATCTTTTTAGTCTTATTTTTCAAATTAAAATTTATTTTCAAAATTATATATGTACATTAAATTAATTTTTTTTAATCAATGCAACCGACCCAAAATCCCTACCAACAGTATTATCTCATTTGAGAAAGTTATTAGCTAAAAACAATATTTACAATGCTTCCGTCTTATCCAAAGAGATGAGAGAATCACTTATTAAATTTTTCTTAGATCTTAAAATTTGTGTAGCTTAATTGCGTCTATTTCTATACATGGAGAAGTTAATTACTTTGATGAAGTTCCTAAGTTATCTTTCTCTAATGATCACATCTTGTTATAAATAGATTATCATGATTGACCACTTTACATCTCTGAAAATGTGGAATGATTTGATTGTCTAGAGCTCTTTTTGAGTCAGGTGCATCAATCAATATAATGAATTTGAGAATGATTGTTTACCTTGATGTTTATGCATGCAAAATCTCATCTAAAAAAGGATTTATTTTTGGATTCAATGAGAAAGATGAGCCAACTCTAGGCTCCATAACCATCCTGCTCAAAATTTATGATTTCCATATCAAAGAAAAGTTTCATTTTGTTGACTCAAGGACACCAATCAAAGCATTTTGGGGAGAACCTGACTTCATAAGCATCGAATGGTGGGCTCCCCCCTTCGTCAATGCATCAAGTACTGGCAAGATGAAAAAATATTGCATCAAGGGTGATCTATAACCATTATCGGCCATGAAATCAGAATTTATAAAGATGTGGTACATTAAGCACCAACGAAGCCATCGATATTCTTTAAAGAGATACTCGCAACTGAAAAATTAGAAAAGAAAAATGCAACAAATGAAAAGAAAGAAAAGAAAAATGTCATAAAAACATTGAAAGAGAATTGACAACAGAAGAAAATAGTGAGAAAGAAGGAAACGAAAATTAAGATAAGTCATCAAAAAATGAGGACGAACCCCAAATAATAATTCAAAAGCCTTATACTTCTCCAAACTTACAAGTAAGAAATAGAGCTATAATAAGTTGAGGAGTAGCCTAGGGTGAGGATCGAACACCCTCCGCCAAATTTGAAGAACATTCTTTAAGAAGTTATAAAGTAAAACAGGATTTGGACGAGCACCCATTACAAGAGCTTCTCTACCAAATTTGAAGAAAACAATGCTAGTGATGCATAATGACTTAAAGTCTATCTCAGAGAATGATTTGGGCATTGTAGGTTGGTCGATCACCTAGATGAAATAGGAAAACCTGTTAAGGATCTCCATGAAAGAAGATGAGGAAGAAAAAAGAACATTTAACTCAAACCAAGGCAAGTCCTAGTCAACCATGTACAAGAAGATCAACCAACATGTCAATACTTTAGCCCTAACCCCACTATACTCCAATATTGTGGCTAGGATGGGAGTTAAGGTTGCACTTAATCAGTAGTTATCAATGTAAAAAAAAATTTATAAAGGGTCCTCATCTTCATGTCTTATAAAAGATGTAGAACTTGAAGATGAAATCTCAAATGAATTATTAAAAATTTCTTTTAATTGGTACGTGTCTTATGTTACTAATATAGTAACACAGGGTCTAATATTGCACATTTGGTCCAAAATGCAATCACACCATTCCAAAGATCATTGGTATACTGAAAGCAAAGTTGAACATAAGTTGTAGATAACTTCACCAAAACTCGGGATACAACCTTTAATAAAATCACCCGACCATGGGAGAGCATCGCTAGGCAATTTGCAGAGAGCACGGGTTGTAAACCCTTCAATAACACCAAAAGAATAGAAGATACCACCATTAATTACACCATCATATAGTGGAATCAACTCGATAAACACACCATCAAAACTCAAAGTAACTCCGCCATACGATAAGGCAAGAATAACACCGTAAAATGTGGGATACAACCATCAATAACGTCGGGAAGTAAACCAAGGGTAACACCAAAATGCGAAACACCATCAAAGCAGGAGCTACAACCTACGATAACACAACAAACATGTGGAACAGCACCAACAGACAAAAGTCTATATAAGAATAATAATAATAATAATAATAATAATAATAATAATAATAATAATAAACTTTTATTCCAACTTCCAACATCCCTTTATAAAACTTTTTTGATCATCCTAAGTTTTTTTTTGGGTTACATGCCCTTATTTGGTTCTTTTATAATCATGTGCTCATTTATCCTCTAATTTGAACAAACTTATTTTGATATTATTTAAAATTCACATTTTATTATTATTATTATTATTATTATCATCATCATCAACATTCTGTTAGTCATGATCATAGGATTAAACAAGAGTTTTGTTAGGGTATGAAAACTTTAAGATATAACTCATTGCATGAGCTTACATGATAGGATAAATCTCACTCTCACTCTCTCTCTCTCTCTCCCCTCTCTCTTCTCTCACCTCTCTATCTATCTATCTATCTATCTATCTATCTATCTATCCCCACACACACACACACACACACACACATAAACACACACAAAAGCACACACACACACAAACACACACACACACACACACACACACACACATATACATACATGCATGTGCAATTCATCGACCTTCTATTAAATTTATGAGTGTTTACCTCATTTATTTAATGATGGTGCTTTTACCCATAATACATTTTTCAAAAAACCATATTAGTTATAGATAATAAGGGTGATAAGCAATCCTAATTGTAATGATCTTTGATTCACTTAATAATCTAACTATTACCTCAAATTAATGTGGAAAATGCCTCATGAATCACACTTTGTCAGTTTTTCTCATTATAGAAGTAATGTCATATATAACTGTTATTAATTCACTTAGGATAAGCTAGACTCTCTTTTACTCCACTTGAACATTAGAGTGAATCAATCATGCCTATAATCATCCCTTTTATCATGCCATAGTTTCTTATGATGGTTAGGAAGGTTGCCACAATATCTCTCTACAAAAATAGAAGGGGTTGCCACTTTATTCTTTCAAGAGAGTGTTCAAGAGAGCTACTCTAATTTGACATCAACTTACAATTTTTTTACAATACACTTTAAAAGCACTAATAATGACAATAGCCTACTTATCATCTTATGACACATTAAAATGAGGTTTTCATCACTCAAATAGTTAGAAATTTCGTCCTGCTAATAAGATAGGTTGCCTTGATTATGTAAGATAGTTCTAGCTTAGCTAAGAAGGACTATACACACACATTATGGAAACTTGTGATATATTATGTTGTTGAAGTTGACACAAAATTAAGGCTTTTTTGTAGCGTGGCCATGCCTTTCCTTAACCAAGGAAATATTAAGCTCACTTTATGCTTTCAAAGTTAATGTCATATGCTTCATCTTTATTCAAAGATGTGCTCTAATTATAGAGCTCCATAATATGTAAGAGTTGCATGCATATCAACATTTATTCAACTTATAGAATAGATATACGCCATTTCAAATCTTTGTCATGGTTAAGATTTAATGTGGCAAAATCTCCGTTCTTGAGTTTAAATCCCTACACATCCAATTCAAATGTCCCCAAGATACACAACCACTTATAAATATAACATGAACTGATCGTGTTTATCTTCTTATTCTCCTTAACTTTCATTATCAAATACTTTGGATAGCTGTAATAATGATTTTTAATATTTCAAAATTTTCAATGGGTGGACTTATTAGTATTTATCATGGAGAAATTCTTAAGAAAAATAATTCAACTCATCAATCAATTACGAATCTCTAAATCTAATTTCTTAAATTTTAAAAATATTTAAGAAGCATATAAAACCACTATATCATGTAAAAATATTTAGTGCTATTAATAATCCTTCATTAAAAAGGAAAATTTAAAATCATTAAAATGAACGAACACATGCCACTTAATTTTTACATATTTATATACTTAATAACCAAAATTTTATATTTATTTTTAGAACATCTAGTGGCTAAATCACATCATAATGCTTGTATGGAAAATATGTTTCACTTTATATAATTTAATGTTTGTGATAAGTTTGATGTGATTTAAAGATTAAACTTTTAAAAAAATAAACATAAAAAAAAATGTTATATATAAATGCATATGAATTTAACAACATATACATAAACCAAAAAAATGAACTATCAAGCATAACAAGAAAAATTTATTAAGAATTTAATAGAAAAAAAATTAAAATTTTTTTGGACTGATTAAGATTTTGATGATTATATAACAAATAAAGGCTGTTGGTATTAATTTTATAAATACCTAAAATTTGGGCCTCAATAAAAATAATAATAAAAAAAAACACGTTAATGTGCTATGATTTGGGCTTTAGGAACAATTATTTCATGCACACTGTATTTAGAAATGCATACGGTGTTCGATCTACACTATTCATCATAAGAAAAATGTATTTCGGTGAGACTCAATTTTAATATTATTTTTTTAACTTGGTCGACGATGGAGAACAATCACCATGACTGTAATTTTTGGGATTTTAGACCCAATCTTTCACTCAATTAAAGATTTGTTTGGGGTAGTGATAAACTAATTAAAAATAATCTGCTGATAAACTAATTAAAAATAATCTGCTGATAAACTAGCTGAAGCGACTATTACAAATTTTTATTTTTTTGAAAAAGTCAAACCATTGCTAATAAGATCCCAACTCAACAAGATATGTGCGGTGTGAAAACATTATTTTCTGCGTTTTAAAAACACATAAACAATCAAAATGTGATTTACCCAAAAAGATGGTGTGCATTTTCAAAACATTACCTCACCACCAAATAAGCTGCCCCAAAACCCCCAACCAACCCAACCCGCAGCCGGTTCTCGGATCTTGGACCTTCTATTTCGGCGATCGTAGCCGGTGAACCCTACCCAGCCTTCACAACCCTTCCAAACTCCCGCGGAATCCCTAGTGAAATCCGAGATTCCAGCTCCCGAGTCGAACGAATCACTTCCTCCAGCCGCCTCTTCTATTCCGGATTCCTCACCGCCGGTTTCGTACACCATCACAATACCCAGTTGCTCCAGTAATCCGAAGCACGATAGAAGCCTTAATTTCTACACCTGCCTTCACTTCTTTTCGTTTCTTTCTTATGATTTTTCTTATATTCTATCTAGGTTGGTTTTCTTGGGATCAAATTCATAAGACAGAGAAGAGAACCCTTCCGGAGTTTTTCGATGAGAGGTCGGCTTCCAAGAACCCAAGCGTCTACAAGTATTACAGGGATTCCATCATACGACGCTTCAGATCGAACCCTTCTAGGAAGATCACGTTCACGGAGGCCCGGCGCGGACTGGTCGGGGACATTGGATCCGTACGAAGGGTTTTTGATTTCCTGGAGGCGTGGGGTTTGATTAATTACACGCCTTCCATGAGGCCGCTGCCAAAGGAGAAAAAGGAGGCGGGGGATACGGTGGAGAGGAAGGTTAGCTCTAAGAAGCTCTGCAGCAATTGCAAATCGCACTGTAGCATGGTTTGCTTCGTGACGGACAAGGTCAGCTGGCTTCTCTAACAGATTCACTATATTTTTCTGTTTTGATGATGAACTTATCATTGTTATTATGCAAGGATTTTTCTAGGTGCTTTTATTTATCTATAAAGGTATCCAGGAAATTTGCAGCATATTGTGGCTAATTGGAAGTTTGCTTTAAAATTACTGTAGTGCTTTAGTTTGAAATATTGATGATTATAGGTCTTTTTATTTTTTAAATACTGTCATTGGTCCATGTGCAAGAGTGTGTTTTGTCCTAGGCATAGGAATGAAGAAATTTTTGAAGGAGCATATTTGAAAGCCATATAAGTATATGGAGCTGGCAAGGTAAAATATAGAACAACATCCACAATAGAGGCGGATTTTTGAAAGTCAAACTTGCTGTAGGTGCTTTCTAAAGCCTCTTCCTAGGTGGCGATTTTTTTATGGTAAATTTAGTATATTCTTAATTATGTTTTTCTATTGATTTAATTGAGAGAATTCCAAATCATTGTTTTGCTCTCTTTTCTTAAATTTTAATAATGCATTAAGCATTTATTCAAAACATAGGATTATATCATACATCTTAATGTAAAATAGTTCGCTTGAGGTGTTTATATTGTACACATTTTAATTTTTATGCATACCTCAAACTATATTTACCGTTATTTTCTTAGATTCATTGACTACAACAACGACAACAACAACAAAGCCTTAATCCCACTAGGTGGGGTTGGCTACATGAATCCTTTTTCTCCATTGCGTCCTATTTTGTGTCATATTTTCATTTAGTTTTAATAAATTACGATCATTGTTTATACAATAAGCCCAAGTCTTCCTAAGTCTACATCTGCCTTTTATAACATAAGTCAAATCTAAAACATATACTCTTCTAATCAAATCATCAGATGATCGACATTTAATGTGACCAATCCATTTAAGACGACTCTTATCAAATTTTGTCCGTCACTTGAGCTACATCAACCCTATCACGGAGATATTCATTTCACATTTTGTCTCTAAGTGTAAAGCCACTCATCCACCTAATCATTCTCATCTCGACAACACTTAACTTAGTATTATTCTTCTCTTTTAAAGGCCAACATTCAACGACATAAAACATTGCAGGTCTCACCACTATCTTATAAAAATTTCCTTTCAGTCTAAGCGATACTTTTCTATCGCAAAAAAGACCTGAAACATTTCTCCACTTCAACCAACCAACTTGAGTTCTACTATTAACATCCCCATCTATATCACCATTGCTTTGAACAACATACCCGAGACATCTAAATCGTTCACACCTTTTAATAATTTGATCACCCAAAGTTACACTTTTGTCACTAGAGCTACAACTACTAAAATTACATTCCTTGTATTCAATTTTAGTTCTACTCAAATGAAGGCCTTTAGTCTCCAATGTAGACCTCCATAATTCAAGTTTAAGGATATCATCAACAAGAAGCATACGCCAAAGTACATCCTCCTGTAAATGTCCAGTAAGACCATCCATAACTAAAGCAAAAGGATATGGGCTTAAAGCCCATCCCTGCATCCCTGATGTAATCCACCTGATGTAATCCAACATAAATAGGAAAATAATTGGTCAATCATCATTCAATTTGTACACAAGTAATAACTCGAGTGTACATATCTTAGTGATATGAATATAAGTCATATCGACACCTTTCTTCTCAAGAACTCTCCAAAAGATATCTCTTGAAACCTTATCACAAGCTTTTTCTAAATCAATAAAAATGAAATGTAGATCCTTGAAATGTAGACTGAACTTCTCCATCAAACCTCTCAATAAATGTATCTCTGAACTTCTCCATCAAACCTCTCAATAAATGTATAGCCTCCATAGTAGACATAAATTCAAATTGATTATAATGATTATAAGAAATCTTTGTAATACGCCTTAATCTATATTCAATTACCCCCTCCCATAATTTTAAAGTATGACACATCAACTTAATTCCTCTATAATTTGCACACTCTTGTGCATCCCCTTTATTTATAGAAATGAGGACCAAAATACTCTTCCTCCACTCCTTAGGCATCTTTTTAGTTTTAAGAATAATATTAAAGAGTTTAGTAAGCCAATAAACTCCCAAACTCCTAAAAATTTCCACACTTCAATTGAGATATCATCAGGTCTTACAGACTTTTCACCCTTGGTTTTCTTTACTGGGGGTAATACGACGGTAAAAATACAACATTTTATTATTATTAACGATATTAAATCACTAAGAGCGGTATTTTCATAAATTTCATTAAAAAATTTATCAAAATAACTCACTCACCTATGTGGAATATCTTTTTCTAAGAAAATCACTTTTTGATTTTTATCTTTAATACACTTTACTTGAGTTAAATCTTTACTCTTTTTTTCTCTTTGTTTGACTAGTTTATACATATATTTTTCACCCTCCTTAGTATCTAATCTGTTATAAAGATCACTAAAAGTATAATTTTAAGCTTCACAGATTATTTTTTTAGACTCCTTGTGGGCCGTTTGATATTTTTTCTAGTTCTCTAAGCTTTTACATTTAAATCAATTTTTATAACATAACTTCTTATATTTTATCTTTTCTTGCACATTATTATTCTACCACAAACTATTTTTATTTATAGAAATTTTTTCTTTTGATTCTCCAAGTAAATCTTTTGCAACTTGTTTAATAGTATTTTTTACTTTATCCCACATAACATTTGCTTCTTCATGAACATCCTAAATTTTAAAATTTTTAATTTTACTCATAAAAATAATTTTATTTGTGTCTTTTAGGTTTCCCCATATAATTCTACGATAATGAGTCATAATATTCTTTATTTTACAACTTTTCATATTAAAATCTAGAACTAATAATCGATGTTGGGTATTTAAATCTTCACTTGGAATGACCTTACAATCTTTACAATCTCGACGATCTCTTCTTCTCATAAGAAAATTATCAATTTGTGTTTTATTAGATCTATTCTCATAAGCAATAAGATGCTCATCTCTTTTCTTGATTAAAGTATTAGTAATAACAAAATCACATTCTAAAGCAAAATCTAAAATGACTACCTTCTTCATTAGTCACTCTAAAACCGTAGTCACCATGAATATTTCTGTAATCTTCTACTACTATACCCTCCAATAAAATTCTTTCTTCAAAAGATATCATTTGTATTAAATCTTTTAAATCATTCCAGAATTTATCTTTAGACCCTATATCTAAACACACCCTATATCTAAACACACTTGAGGAGCATAAACACTTATAATATTAAAAATCTTAGTATTAATAATAATCTTAAGGACTATAATTCTATCTCCAATTCTATTAATTTTTACAATATTATCTTTCAAACTCTTATCTATAATTACACATACATCATCTGTAGTGCGACTCTTACCTGAATGCCAAAGTTTAAATTCTAGGTTATCAATCTCGTTAGCCTTTTCTCCAACTAATTTGGTTTCTTGAATACATAAGATATTAATCTTTCTATGAATCATAATATCAACTAATTTCATTAATTTATTATTGAGAGTACTTATATTTTAAGATTCTATCATAATATTAGTTTTATGGACTAACTTTTTTACCCACATCCGTCCGTAATGTGAGAATCCTTACTTATTTGACACTACACCTGAGCTCCAGTGTAGCGACTCTTGCGTACTTTTCACTGTATTTATGTCATACAACGCGTCGCTTTCATTAACTAGTCTATGAAAATTATTTATCTTTCCAGAGTAGACATCATATTGGCTTGATGCGTGCAACTTTTCAAATTGGTATCTATTAACTAATTCGATTATGGCTCCAGTCCTAACCCATAATATCTGCATAATAAAATTTTGTTTAGGGTATAATTTATTTGGATGATTTTTTGAATATTTTTTCCTTTTATAAATCATCTATTAACTTTATTTGGTTTAGTCCAATTGTCGTGCATTGAAATTTTGGCAAATACTAATAACAACTTGACCTAAACATCTCATTAGCATAGATTCTGTAATGAGACATATTAGTCTTCGAGAAGGTGTTCAAGCAACACATCTTTATAAAGCACACAGGTTTGTGGGCTCTAAAATTTCATGCCAGTTCTTTTGAGAGGGTTTAGTATTACGAGTCAATTTTTTTGAAGACATATTACATTTATATATACATTACTATCCATAGTTTCAACCTTATTTTCCTAGAATAATGTTTGATTTCAGGTTTCCCTTAGGCGTAAATCTTTGTGGTTTGTTTCCCCTTTTGGTGATGAGAGAGAACCTTTTATTAAGGTTATCATTAGATACTAAAATGCTTAGCTTATATTAGCAACAATTTGATTTTAGATTTAAAAATTATCATTTTTTGTGTGGACAGAATGGTTGCTAGAATGATGATAAATTTAATCAAGATTTTATGGTTGTATTATTCTAAGTTGTCATGAATCTTGGTCTATTTAATAAATTTCTTGAGTTTTTCATATTTTATTGGGGTTTAATTTCCTTTGAAATCTGAGAGCATTTTGATGATAAAGATTTTCGCTGGTTGAAAATTTTTATCGATAAAAATTATTATTGTCGTGTTTGAATTATTGAACTTTTTTGCTTAACTTTATTATTTTTGCTCGTTTACTTGCAGATGATGAGACTTATAATTTATATTTAATTTATGTTTTTTGGATGTTTGTTATCCTGCAAACCTTGTTGACTCTATCATGTATATAGAATATCAAACTTGTGGATATTGTCACGATCTGAGCCAATAACTTGGAGTTAATCAAGGTGTGAATTGACAATCGGATGACGAAAAATATTTTTTTTAAATGTTAACATTAGTTCACACTAATATTCAGCTAGAAAAGAGCCACTAATCCATAATATTCATGTAAGTAATTCTCTAATAAATATGTATAATTATCAAATAATATAGTAACACAAATAGTACATTAATAATCCACAGGACCACAATACACATGTAAGTATGTCTCTGGATACCCTTTAGGTGGAAAAGACACTGAAAAAATTTCATTAG